CCTGTCCCTGTGTGTTGTCTATCACCGTTGGGCGTTGAAGGCAAAAATGATATAGATGTAAAAAAAAGGAAATATATATCTGTATATAAATATATATATATATACATACATATATATATATATATATATATATATATATATATATATATATATATATATATATATATATATATATATATATGTATGTATATATATATGTATATATATATATATATATATATATATATATATATATATATATATATATATATATATATACATACATATATATATATATATATATATATATATATATATATATATATATATATATATATATATATATATATATATATATATCAGTTTATATGCCTATCTATCAATATATCGCTCTACCTGTCTGTCTGTTTATAAATCCATTTATCTATCCATCTACCTATTGATTTAGACACATGCAGGTTGATATATGCAATACATGACGGGATATCCAATCCCATATTTATGTCTAGATATCTAACGACTGATGTAACTACGATTTATATACATATATGTTTAGTTTAATACTACTCTACTGTTAGACGAGATTATTTGTTATGAATCTAAGAATATTACAACGAACAAACCAACATTAAATATTACAAAAACTACATTCATATTTACACACTTGCAGCAACCACATGTTCCCAAATGCAGTTAAAGCTTTTGTCCATTCAAGTCCTATGTTACAAAGAATAACATCATAGTTGCTATACACTCGTATGTTGCAGGTATGACTCATCCAACCACTGTTCTTAGTTTCCAGGTAGATTAGTGAGTGGTATAAAACAGTGCAGAGTGTTATTAGTATGTTTATATACAAGAAAACACATGCTTTGTTATTGGCCCACAACTCGCTCGTGCAGTAGCAAGTGTTGGAATGCTGCTGGTTGATTAGCAGATGCGATGTGCGAAAAAGTTAAATTTTGGTTATAAACTCTTTCCAGTCATGTAAGTACCGGGAGTATCCCTACAGTAAGGGCATTGCACTTCAGTAATCGTCGATTTAATGTCAGTCTTATTATTTTACTCTTTTATATTTTCCTTTCTTTTTGTATACATTAGAGCAAAGACCTCCACCAAGCAAGAGGACAGGCATGCAGAAGGTTAGTGGTTCTTGGAGTTAACAGTTGAGCAACGAGTAGTACCCTTCTTGTGCTTTAGGGCTTGGCTGTGGTTAGCGTTTGTGTTAAGGCACTTTCATACACACTGTCCAAAGAAGAGTTTTTGTTGCAAACTTTTCAAGTTTTGTCAAAGCTGCGTTTCCATTGGAGTGCATGAAAATAAAAAGAGAAATACCCAGAGTATAAACAGCATCTTTTACTGTTAAGTTACAGTATGTGAAAGCTGCGCGTGGTTAGTTGAATTAATTTTGCTCCAATTTTGTGCAGCTTTTAATGCGAACAGAAACTTCGCAGTTTTAACGAAAACTCGACTTTCTTTCGATTTCCTCCTCCTGACTCGTGGCTCAGTACCTGCTTCGGCAGTCTGCTCTCCCTGGGGACGAGAGGGCCTCTCTGGCCTCGGCGGGCGCTGAGGGCGCGCCGGCGGCCGCGGGCGGGTCGGCCGCACAGGCTCCTCGGGCGTCTGCGGTTCCTGGGGCTCTTTGGCTGGTGGCGCCGCGGGTTCTTTGGGCGCTATTGGCTGCTCGGGCACGGTGGGATCCTCGGGGGCGCCGGGGGCCGGCGGCGGTGGGGCCTCAGGTTGCTCGCGGTCCTCGGCCGGCGCTTGGGCTTCCGGGCCGGCGGTTTCATCTGGCACCAAAGACGTGTCTGGAATTACTGACTCGTCCGGGGTTACGGGCTTTTCAGGCGCCGAGGGCTCAGCGGGGGCTGCTGTATCTTCTGGAACCACGGGTTGCTCTGGGACATTGGGTTCACTTGGAATCGAGGGTTGCTCTGGGACAATGGGTTCACTTGGAACCGCGGGTTGCTCTGGGACAATTGATTCGTCTGGGACAATGGGTTCATCTGGAACCGCGGGTTCCTCTGGGGTAGTGGGATCGGCTGGAACCGCGGGTTGCTCTGGGGGAGTGGGTTCATCTGGAACCGCGGGTTCCTCTGGGACAGTGGGATCGGCTGGGACCGCGGGTTCCTCTGGGGCAGTGGGTTCCTCTGGGTCTTCTGGGTTCGCAGTTTCGCCTGGGGCCAAAGTTTCCTCCGGGACCAAGGGTTCCGCGGGGGCCACAGGCTCAGGGGGCGGCGGTGCGTCTGGGGCCGCGGCCTCATCTGCTACAGTGGGTTCTACTTTACTACAGTCTCGCAAAAGTGAGTGTGACCACACCAAGAATACCTTGTTTTCCTTTGTCATTTTCATGAGCAGTCTTTCCGTGGTTTGAGTGTCAGATAGAGGAAAAAAGTGGAAGTGAAGAGATGATTGAACTTTTTCAATGCAAAACATTACATGCTTGTTTAATGTATAGGATTTCTTTCTCGGAGAATGTAGGAGAAAAAAGAGAGACAGATATCTCCCATGCAGCATCCGT